GTGTTCACTTCAACTACTATTCACCTACATACTACACCATGTTTGGCTTCTCTTATTCTTAAAAGACCCAGAAGTGTTTTCATCCATTGTTTGGTTTGTGTTACCTGTTAAAAAACACACTCGTCCAAGTGATCTGAGCCTGTCCTGTTAAGGCTCAGTACCAAGTGAGTGGCTCTATACACCTGTAAATTTATTCTATCACTACCTCACAGTACTTCACTATTGTAGTTCTACCTTATATCCCCATCTCCAGGTCTCAATAAATTCAAAAAGGAGAGGGGGGAGGTGAGTTATCTACAAGCACCTCCTTAGCGCTCCACCTTTGACTGGGGTTGATGTTGTATCACACAGTCTACTGCTATATTTTGTATTCTTGTGTCAATTAGTGAGAGAATTGCACATTGGTGGTAGCAGCTCACATATTATTTATATACTTTTTTAAGCGCCTGAAAACACAATATCACTTCTATCCCAATTGTACAAGTTGTGATCAAAACAAAAGTTAAAGAAAACCTGGAATTTGCAGTTCAACCATAATTCACCTCTTTCATTTTAAGTGCACCCACTGTTATTACATGTCATTTTGTTCTGGAGAAACAGGATTTTCATTTCATATAAAATATTTATATATAAAACATAATTTAATATGAATAAAATCTAAAAAAGCTTGAGAAATTAAGAAATGTTATTTTTCAAGTTCTGTATTGCATTTTAACAGTGAATGTCATAATACTGTTTGATTTTACGGAAATAAAATACAAATGTTTGTATTCATAAATGTCTCACGAGCACAACAGTACCCCCAAGTTTCAGGTTTTATGGATTTTGAAAACTTACAGGGGTCAAATGTACGGCTTTCCCCTTTTCCATGTTTGCACATTTGCAATAAAGGAAGTGTGAACATTAGATGTCTCCTTACAGGAAGTGTTTAGGAAGGCCGTGTAAGTCACATGTAGAGAGGTGTGCTTAGGGCAGCATAAACAAAGTGATTTAACACCTAAATGGCAGATTTAGAGCAGTGAGACTGTAGGGGCATGATATATACATCAAAACCTCTTCGTTAACCTAAAGTTGTCTAGGTGACTATAGTGTCCCTTTAAATATCAACATTTTCAATATCACTACTTCTGAATTGCTTTGACCTAAAACATGACCAGATCCTTTTTAATAGACAACAAAAATACCATACTTTTTCATGTCTTTATGAACAGATTGATCCACTGAGTTTGTTGGGAAAATAATGTAAATCTTAAGGTTTAGTAACAAATTTTGCATTGAAACCAGCCCACCGTCTCTTCCTACTCAATTCTTTGTATTTTATGATATAAAATATTTAATACATACATTTTAGTGCAAAAAATGCACAAAGGCGCACAGATTGCACCGCTCGCTGCAACCATATTAGCTGAAACATGGTGCTGTGATGGTGCATCCCACCAAACCCACCAATTTACCTGTGTCAATCCACTTCTGGTTTTAAGTTATTGATAATTCTGGGCTGTCTTCCATGAACTGCTCACTTCAATCAAGGTCAGGAGTTTTGCTTGACACTCCTAAAATGGGAAATTTCATCTGCTCCAACCATTAGATTGTAGCTTTTTAAAACAAATTAATTTAGGCGTCATCTTTCTGCATTGCAAAAATGTTGGTAGGAGCCGCACTCAATCCCAGCAGCCACCCGGTGCGCCGGAGCAGGACCATCAATCCCACAACGACAAGGCAACAAAGAAATTCCCTAGTCACCCAAGGTATTAAAGCCGCAGGTAGCATTAATGAAACAAAAAAGAAGAGCAAAGTTTCGACCTCCTAGAGGTCTTTTGGAAGCTGTGAAAAAGACCTCTTAGGAGGTCGAAATGTTGCTGTTCTTTTTTGTTTCATTAAAAAAAGCACCCTGAAATTCTTCGGAATTAGCCAGCTCAATTTAATATTTTGTATTTCTCAAATGATTGCAAACTTTTTTTCCCCAAAAACTTTTTTAAGTCCTGACACTGCAAAAACAAGCCCAAGCTATGGCACTACCATCAAAGTCCCGGTTGCAATGATCTTCTTTTGTCGGAATGCAGTGACTAGTTTTCACCAAAGATAACATAACATTTCTCTGTTATGCCAAAAGATAAAATTTCTGTCTCATCTGTTTCCAATATCTACACCATCAGTTCTGATCCTCTGATTACGGGTTATAAACATAGGCGTGCGCACGGGGTGTGCCGGTTGTGCCTAGACACACCCTAATCCACGCGGCACATGCTATGTGCCTCCATCCGTGGGCCGGTCTCCCTCACCGACCCACAGGCAGGGAGGGAGGCAGGAGACAACCCAGAGAGCTCTTGCCAGCAGCTCCGCCGGGTTCCTCTTGCGCGGTCGGACCGTTGCCGCGGTAACCGCGGCAACGCTCAGATCTCGCCAGAGTAAACTCTAGCCCCACAGGGGGCTAGAGTTCACTCTCCACTGGACCACCAGGGAAGGCAGGAGCAACGTCCTCCCTCCCTACATAAGGTAAGAAGGGAGGGAGGATATTAACTAAACGGCCCCCACACATTACACACAAACATACAGCACACACACATACATCACCCTTACACACACAGCACACACACACACAGCACACACTAACAGCACCCTTACACACACACACACACACACTAACAGCACCCTCACAGCACCCTTACACACACAGCACCCACTAACAGCACCCTTACACACACAGCACCCTCACACACATAGCACACACTAACAGCACCCTCACACACACAGCACACACTAACAGCACCCTTACACACACAGCACCCTCACACACACACACTAACAGCGCCTGCACACACAGCACCTACACACACACACAGCACCTACACACAGCACCCTCACACACACAGCAGTGTGTGTGTGTGTGTGTGTGTGTGTGTATGTATGTATGTATATGTGTATATATGTATATATATATACGCGGCGTGTGTGTTTCTGCTTTAGGGTGCACACCCTTATACAATAGGCTGCGCATGCCTATAGTTATAAATGTCTAAGACAAATTACTGTATACATTTATATTATTTATTAGTTGCTCGTCAGCACGCAAACGATCAATTAAAAATATATATAAAATAAAAATCCTTTTTTTTTTTTTTTTTTGCAACATGATTCAGAGTGAGATTTGCTTTCATCGGTTCAAATGAAGCTTAAACATTCCACAAGCCTATTAAGAAGGAGGTAGAGGGGGAGCAATTATGACAAACCGTTACTGGAACATGTGCTGGGATTTTCCTAAGTTTGAATACAATGAACCTTAACACTCCAGGTAACATCGATAACACCTGCCTGACTCCGACTACTAGAAGCTTTTTAACTGTCTGTCTGACGTTCAGAAAAGTAGCAGTTTGAACACAGAATTAGTCTGTTAAATATATGTCTACATATAATTTATATTTTGTTCAGGTTTTTTTTTTATCAACAATAGATGGTTGGTGCTGACGACAGATGGTTCAGATATTGTAAGTTGTACATGCAGAAGATTTCTCTCTGAAATGAAATGATGGCGAATAAACCGGCAGACAGATAATGTTATGCTTTACGGAATGTAGTTGTACAGTCAGCTAACATTTTAAGTTATACTTTTAAGCGGAATCATTACTAATGTAAACCTTTTGTGCCTTTCCAAAAGCAGACTGATAATTTTGCAGTCCACTGCCTAATACAGTGTTAAAGGGACACTGTAATCACCAGAAGAACTACAGCCCATTGTATTTGTTCTGGTGAGTATAATCAGTCCCTTAAGGCTTTTTGCTGTAAACACTGTCTTTTCAGAGAAAATGCAGTGTTTTCATTACAGCCTAGAGCTACCTCCACTAGCCACTCCTCAGAAGCCTACTAGAGGTGCTTCCTGGCGCTGGAAATGAGGTAAGTAGCTTAACAACTTTTTTGTTTTATTATCTTTATTTTTGTGGGCAACAAAATGGTGTACAGAATCAAGAAAGCAATAAGCATATACGGTTGTACAATAAATCTTACATGGAAATCGCCTATAGCATACGGTGACATTTTTATGTTATTTAAAATATAATAGGAAAGGGAAACAAAAATGGTGGCAGCATTCAAAAGTATAGGAAGGCCATTGGCAGGTAGGTATGCTAGACTTGCTAAGGATTCTTGACCTATAGTTAAGTAATACAATAAGTATGGCTATGCAAAAATATTCCTCATATGTCGCTCTGTAACCCCGAGCTGGGTGGGTTGCTAGAATTTAAAGGCTACATTAGTAGTAAATTGTGATAAACAGAGATTGATCTGTAGCCCCGAGATTCAATAAAATGGAAAAAAAAACTGTGGCCAGGCAGCGTTTAAATCCAGCATTAGGAACTTTGGAGGGAGACCAAAGAGTAGAACTTAACTCGACTAAACGCATAAAAGAAACTAAACATATAAAATAAACTAACTGAATTGCGGACAGTCCGAGCCCCTATTACTGGGATGTTCATCCTGCGTCTGTGAGTGTACGAGGGACAAAGGGGACTATTGTTAAAACTTCCCAATTCCACGGGTGCTCCGCCATTGTGCCCCGCCATTGTGCCAGGTAGTGGCTGTAGACCCAAGGACTGTGCGTCGCAGTGGTTATGGAGGCGAGTATGAATGTAGTGCCAACTTTAGTGGCCAAGAGAGAGTGAGCTGGTCCCCAGCGGTATGGAATGTTCGCCTCTTGAAGCCTCTGCGTTATCGGGTGGAATGACCTGCACCAGTCCAGTGTTGATATGCAGAGATATTGTAGGAATGTGAGGCTGGATGACTCGAATTGTAGAGGTGTCTGCATCTGCAGCATTTCCATCACCATGTTCTTGTCTTTCAGCGATTAAAAGTGAATCAATACGTCTCTTGGTACCCCAGCTGGTGCTTTAGGTGATTTAGGCAGGCGATAACAGCTGTCAATGTGTGTCGTTTTGGCTTGTCGCTGGGGTAACATACTAGCCAGCAATCAGCGGGCAAAGAACGGTAGTTCACTGTCCCCTATTGCTTCAGCTATGCCCCTGACTTGGACATTTTTGCATTGCCGGTAATCGTCCAGTGCGTCCAGCTGGTGAGACAGTGTCTGCTGTGTGATGTGGAGTTGAGCTTGTTGTTCGGCGGTGCCTGTCTGTCTTTGGGCTATGGCTGATATGACCGTTTGCTTGAGCCGTAATTTCCGTGATTTCCTCTCTGACAACCGCCAGGTCTGCATTGAAGAACTTCCTCATGTTCGTCATCAGCTCCAGGATATCCCCTTTGGTGGCTGGGGTATTGAATTCAGCTGCAGACAGATGGGTATTCAGGCCCCCAGGGTCCGGTATTGCATCAGGCACATTAAGGGGATCGGCATCTGAGGAGGTAGAGGAGCTGCGGTCTGGTTGCCCCACCATCTTGGGCCTAGGCCTCTGTAGCAACAAGTCGCTGATGTTGCGATATCCCTCGCCCGTAAGTTCTTTGAGCTTTTTATTTTTCTTCCCCATACCAGCAGGAAGGCTTGGGGGAAAGTTTGAATGTCTGTGGGTACTGGTGGAGTAGTATTTCTCTGTCTATAGTCTCTGTTGCGCTGGAGCTTACACGCCATGTGACTGATCTCCTGCCTGCCGTAACCATGCCCCCAACAGAACTTTTTAAATACCAGATGAGGGTTGGACAAAGATCACAGCAACAGAAGGGAAATTATACTCCCAAAAAGCTATTGTTATTGTCGGGACTGTAGTTTCCCTTTAAGGTTTTCTTTTGAAGTTTGAGAAGAGTTCAATAGCATATTCTCTCTCTTAAAGTATGTGACATGTTGGAAGGGAAAGAGAGAGAGAAATTAAAAAGCTCTAAACATATTGATGCATTTATGTCCCTACCATATCTTGCAGGAGACCGGCTGCATATTTGTGCATGTTAAATCAGGTATGTTTTGTAGAAACTTTAAAGGAACACGATAGGGTCAGTAACACAAACACATTCTTGACCCTATAGTGTTAAAAACACTATTTAGCAACCCTACTCCCTTTTCCCCCCTTGCCCCTTTAAATCTTAACTTTATTCCAGTCTGGTGCTGCTGGCTCTGCCCCAGATCGGCCTCCTTGGCTGACATCATCAGAAGTGATTATCTCAGCCAATCACAATGATTTCCCATAGGATAACACTGGATTGGTTAAGAGTGTCAAGGGGGCAGATCAAGGGCAGACCCAGCACAAGTCAAACACACCCCTGCATGGAGACATTGAATCAATTGTTGACAAGGGCTGTGTTTGGCTTGTGCTGGCTCTGCCCCTGATCTGCCTACTTGACAAGCTCAGCCAATCCTTTGGGAATGCATTTTTGATGATGTAAGCTAAGCAGGCAGATCAGGGGCAGAGCCAGTAGCAGCAGCAGCAGACTGGAATTAAGGTAAGATTTTACTATATTTAGAGGGACAAGAAGGGTCCCCTTTGCCTCCATCATCATGCTTGCTTATGCTACTGCGATCTTGTCCAATCCAATACTTCTCACAAAGTGTGGCAAAATGCTGCGCTGTTCCAAGCATCCATTAACTCAGATCGAAGAACTGAGTTTGACTCAGTTCTGGAGGCTGAAACGTTTCTAGTAGCTGTCAGGAAGACCGTATGTGACGAGACCAATCTCACCACATTGCATTGGAGGAGCCTGGTTGCCTGCCTGCTCCCTTTAGACTATGGCCCGGACTTTTAAAATACTTTATTCTTCCTGCAGAAAGGCTTATTCATGCCTTTCTGCCAAAATACCGAAGGCGCGACCACCGGGAAGCTGGCGTGTGCCTTCAATTCACCTCCCTGAAGCTAGCGTGTGCCGTCAATTGACTACCCAGTAGCTGCGGTTAACCACAGCTTAATTGACTGTTACTGGGTGGTCGCGGTTACAAATAGCCGCCACACGGTGGCAGTGTTATGGAGCTCCCCGGACGGCCAGTGGTGCTCAGCCCAAAATCAGCGCACTAAAAGCGGACACTTTTACGTGCAGGCACCGCTGAGCCTCCAGCCTTCCCTGCTTCTATTCGTGCCTGTTTAGCCGAACGCTGGATGATCGGGACTTTTTCTATGTGAATGTTTTAACCCAAATAGCTATGCCATGGAGCCTATTCATGTAATTAAAGACTTTTGGCTCCATGGCAATTGAACTGTGTGTATAGGATCTGAGCGCTATTCGGTAGTTATGTGCGCTCAGATCCCAGCTATCTGGGGATATGTGACATGTATGTATTTTATGTAATAAATGTAACACTGTATGTTTTAATGTATTTTACTGTCTTTGTGTCCCCACGTGTAATGGCAATTTGCCTCTGTCCTGGGAGATAATTGGATTACGTCCCAATTATCTCCAGGATAGAGGGAAGGAAATTAGGATGCATTAAGGGGATGTTTTACTTCCGTGTGTCTGAATGTGATACATGTCTGTCTGTGTTACAGTCTTCCATCTGGTCCCCTAGGGGAGTGTCCATCAGGTGGGAGACCTGCATAAATACTGGGCAGGTAGCCCTCAATAAACCAGACCACTGCTTGACCCTCAACACAGAGATCTGTCTCGTCTTTGGGGGGGGAATTTACTGTATGCTGTTAGAGACTGATTGCCAGGAGTGTAAGCCGCTTGGGTGCTTTTCCTGTTCGTCTGCTAGCAGCTATTCATGAGGTTCCACTTCGTGAGTTTGGTGTTCTGCAGTAGCTGTGCATGTGTCTCTGGAAGGGAAGATCTCCTAAACGGCTGTCAAACCCTTTTATGCCTGCGGGTGCCGTTACACCGTAGTTAAAGGTATATTTAACCCTTCAACGTAAACACTGCTGTTTCTACAAAAGCAGCAATGTTTTACATTAAAGGGTAAAAACAACGGGACCACTGCATCCAGAACACTTCATTAAAGATTAAATTATCTGGGTGCCTTCTTTTGGTTCTTTAAGATGTCTGACTCACAGTCCCAGATCTCTCTTTCTTACTCCCTAATTCAGCCGGAAAGTAGAGCTTGGGATTTAATATCATATCTTAAAATTCTTAGTCTTTACTAAATACCTGTGGTAAGTCAGTACTGATAAGTGGCACAGATACCACACACCCAATCACCATGATACGATGACACAGCAATAGGTCCAACAATACTTAGTCAAACCATTGGGGCATTACTGAAGAAAACAAGTAGACATATAAATTTCAGGTGTTCTCAGTAAGTGACAATAGTACATGAAGTGAGTGAAATGACAACCAGCCAGTTCTATGCAGGAAAAGTTCAAATAGTGTAATATGAATAGAAAATAGTCCATATGAATTAATCCTCAGGTGGACCTCACAGAAAAAAAGTACATTTCCACATGTAAATCTGGCTTTTGCCCCCTCCACTCTACTGACACTGCTATTATTAAAGTTACAAATGACCTAATCACAGCTAAATCCAATGGCCCCTACTCCATACTAATTCTTCTTGACCTCTCTGCTGCCTTTGACACTGTTGATCATGTCCTCCTGCTCCAAACTCTTCAATCCCTCGATCTCTGTGACACTTTCCTCTCATGGTTTTCCTCCTATCTCTCCCAATGTTCGTTCAGTATCTCCTTATGCAAAGACACCTCCTCTTCTCGTCCTGTCTCGGTTGGAGTCCCCCAAGCATCTGGTTTTGCTCCCCTTCTGTTCTTTCTTTATACTGCCTCTCTTGGCAAACTCATTAACTCCTTTGGATTCCGCTACCATCTTTATGCTGACAACACCCAGACATATCTCTCCTCCACTGATCTCTTACCCACAGTCTTGCAACGTGTCACTTCTTGCCTTTCTTTAATCACTGATTGGATGTCTTTCCACTCTCTGAAACTCAATCTCTCTAAAACTGAGCTTCTCTTTTTTCCTCCTCATAATGCTGATCCTCCTTCTTTGCTTTCCGTGCAAGTTGATGATACTTGCATCAGTCCATCCTTGCAAACTTGAAATAATGGTGGGTCCACCAGAAGAATTAGTATTAATCATCCAGGCCAGTCCAGTAAGAGTAGACAATGCTTTCTGCTGGGTGTCCTAAGTGTAGCGCAAACGCATTTAGTGTTGACCTTAAAATTGGGACTGTCCTACCGAAAGTGGGATGGTTGGGAGACCTGCTTTCAGTGGAAATCTTGAATAGTTGCCAAATATCAAACTAGCTGCAAATATAAATAATCGGTATAAGGTATATAAGGTATAATTCTGAATCCCGCAGAGCTTAAGCAATCGTAGATAGTAACAAGGAGTCAGTGGAAGGGAAAAAAAAAACACAAAAAGGAAATAAAATGACATAAATGGCAAGGGAACGTTTTTTGAATCACAGAACGATAGAGAAAGACTACGACAGTAATAAAAAAAAATTGCCAATAAAACTTTGGCAACAGAAAATATTGGACATAGTAACACATTAATATGGAAGTATGGGGAACTAATTGTACAGAGGGAAATGTAAAAAAAAAAAAAAAAAAGGGGGAAACCTTAACAATCAAATAGGAAAGGGAGTGTATGTGTGGGGAGAAAACAGACTGATGGGGAAATTAGAATAAATAAACACAAAGGGAGGCAAAGCAGAAAAAAAAATAAACAATTAGAGAAGGAGGGTTTTAAGTATCTCAGGTTTTCATTCGGCTCTAACATTTCTGAAAGTGTCCGTGTTTGTATCCAAACCAGAGTGTTTTCTGTAGCTGTCCCATTTTTCAATATGGGTATCTGTGTTATTAAAATTTCCGTAACAGTTTTTCCTAAACGTATCACATCAAGGTCCCTTTTCCTGCTTTCTTTTCCATCTGTCTCCTGTTTATTTGAAAGGGAAATGTGGTTTCATTGTAGATTTCTGTAGACTGTACACATTTTGGTAAGGAAAGTTCAGACTAAATAAACAGAAGAATCATACTGCAGACAAAAACAGCCACTGTTAGAAGCTGCCTCCGAGTTAACATGCCAACATTTGCTCTGTTGAAGGTGGCCTTAGGTTGTTTGAAGTGAAGATGCAATAAACTTGCTCGGAGCAGAGGCAATGCAAAGGTCAGGCCCGTATAGTAAAGATCTAAAACTCTCAGTCCATACACATACACATGCCAAATCTAACATCACACTTCCAATTTCTTGGTGTCTTCATTATCTAAAGTCTGTGAGGAGTAAATCGTAGACTGTAGGAGTTATTCATTAAAACCTGAAAGTTTGAAGCATTAACAAGAGAATGAGACTTTTAGGCCATGAACAATGGTGCATAATTAAATAGCAAGGGTATTTGTATGCTCCTGGACTCTGCATTTTCATTGGCTTATAAATGCCCAACTTATAAATAAATACCCATGGCAAGAAAAATGCCCCACTGAACAAATCACAGCCCGACTCCAGCAATGTTTGCTTAGTATACGTATTGTTTTAGATTTATTTTCAAACTTTTTTTACTATTGTGAGTTAGCAAATATTAGCAAATATAGAAGTCACAAACAGAACATATTAGATGGAAAAGAGATTTTTATGTGAAGTAATGATAATGGAGGGAGAG